TTTTAAACAAACTTTACTTGTTTTATTAATTTTTAACATTTATATGTAAAAACGTTACATTTGTATCACTTTTCTCAAAAAAATTGATACCACCAAATTTTAACACATTCCAACTTGAATTTGTCAGTCAACCTTGATTTGGCTTATTCTGCTGTTTTTTTTTAGTTTATTTCTTATTTTTAAAATTAAATAGGTTGACATTGAACATGGAAAATGGTTATTAAATGAACTCCAGACTGAACTCCAAATCCTATCCCATCTCTCCCATCCCAAAATAATGTTTCTCGATTCTTAAGTCAATAAGCCAGAAACAACCTTATATATTTGCATGAAAAGCTACAATCGACACTAATTATTTCTAATTACAGTTTCAATATTCATTGAAGCGTGCGAACATAAAGTTTATTAGATTTTAGTTGCTCAACAAAACCCGCCATAAGCACGCCTATGAATTGAAATGTCTTCTAACTACTGTTACACAAGTGCTTTTGTTCTAACTTCTTTAGCGTTTGTCCTACTACGAGTTTGATTTTGACGAATTTGAGTTTGTTTCCCAAGACATGTTATAAATTTTTATAGGTTTACGCATTACCGTTTACATATATCTCTGTAAAATTGTGCTTTGAAATTTGAACGTCTGTTTTATCGCCTTCACTTGAAATTTACATTTAAGCCAAAATATATGCTCTATGTTATTTTTTGTTAAAGAAACTATTGTAAGTATATAAAAATAATAACACATTTAATTTTTTTCTTGTGAAATCTAAGTAATATAATTTTGAATTTAATTTTCATGGTACAAATTAAGAAAAATGTATACACGTTGATGTCTACATGCTTTATATCATCACGGATTATAAGTGGGTAGTTTATGTAACGTAGTGAAAGTAACATATTAATTATCTTTTGTTGGCCACACGTGTTTATAGTCTGTTACAACAGAATGCATTAAATGCGGATACAGATAATATCTTGAATTTCATATGTTGCAATGGAAGTTTTCTCTTCTCTGACACTGACATTTTTCATTCTAAAGTTGTTGACCAAAGATGCCATCTCTCAAAAAATTATTCTGGCTAGTACATAGGTGGGAAATACCTTGAGGTTATTGATGTATTCCAAAAATAGGAGCTGATGTACACACCAAAATACGAAAGAATCATTTACTCATCACCACTTACTATTATATTTTCATTATTATCTAGCAACTACTATCTTTGTTTGCAACCATTACTTTCTAGGTCAATTTAGGGCAACCAAACAACTCTGTCAACTTTACGCTCAGTAAATATTAACAATGCCAGTTTAAAACGGCAGAGTATGAAAAATTACGTAGAGGAACGCGTGTGGCATTCGTCGAGCGACATAACTATTACGCAAGCATAGTTATTTAGTTATTTTACGTTTTCATTTGAGACTTATGACTAATAGATAGGTAAATACCGATATTTCAATGAAACCAGCACTCCCATTGTACGTTTGCAGGGTATTTAGCAACGCGGTGTTTGAATTTTCAATTTATGCAATGTTTCCTAGTTGATTTTAACGTCTTTGAGCAGAATTTGTCGGTAAATAATAAAGGTTGTTATGGGACTTACCTAAAATAAAATAATTTCTGTAACCAAAATCACAATTTAATATTTCGCTTTTTAATTTTGTAAAATACATCTACAGGTACACGTATTCCAAAAACATACATATATTTTAAATTCCTTAGGCACGTATACAGCGGGCATATTATCTACTAAATTCTAAATATGTCTAGACATAAAATGTAAGAGCGAGGTAAGGTACTGCATACTAAAATTATAAATCTGATAAAAAGATAGGGTTGGTGATGGATAGACGCGATGTAATAAAAGACAAATGAGTTTGAATGAAATAGAAATGCATCCAGGATATGTTACAAAATTCACCAGAAAGAAAGTTATACAAAATTATTTTATTACTTGACTGAAAAATCTAATTTAATCTGCATGTGTCGCATAAACATAGAAGTTAAAAAATAATATGGTCCACTAAGAAACGGAACACCTAACTAAGACTTTTTTGGGACACAGGTCCAGTCGGTGCCCAATTAATTTAGGATTAAATAAAATTAAAAAAAACCTTAAGCCAGATTTTTATTTAAAAATTCTATAATCGTACGTCCCAAAAATGTTTAGAGGTGTCATTGTTCGTAATGGGCCTATACTTATATTACTTATGCTAAACACTAATTCAATTCATTTCTTTCGAATCTTAGTCGCTTCAGAGCGAGATAAATATGCTTCTGCATGAGTAGATCCTTTTAAAATATTTTAGTACTCTCAAATGCTAAAAAATATAAACTTCATGAGCAGATGATTACATCTTAAAGGAATTCCGATGAAAAACCATCAAAATAGTAAAGTGGAAGAATTAATGAACTGCTATAAAGTAATGCAGTTTTTTATAGAATTTGCTAGATACCAATATTCTTTAACTAGTAATTTGCAATATTAATAGAATTTTCGCTGGGACCATATTCATTTAGAATATTATGTTAACTAAAAAAATTGTAACTATCTTGTTACTCTTGTGATTTTTGTTATGAAATAGCTCTCTTGAAGCTAATTAGATACAGCATCCGTCGCTGAATATTTATTAAATTTAACGATCATTATTTTATAATCTTAAAACATTGTTAAGGCTAATAGCTAGTGTGAAAAATATATTGAAAAACAAATTATATGTGCAAATGTACAATAAATAAGATAACATATTAGTAATATTTCATATCTCATAATTTGCCTTATTAAATAAAAAAAAGCTGTATACGAGTTCAGGGAAAATTTATTAACGTTAACTTTCAACGCCTAAAATTTTTTTAACGCAAACAAGTTTGGTCACTCTTTAAGAACAAGACTGTAGTCATGCCAATCCGGAGGTAATGAACAAAGATTTGTCATAGGACTCGGCTTATACTTGTAGATGTTGCAAGTTATTTTATGTTTAAGTTTCAGACTTGTGCGATTATAACCAATAAGCTATTAAATAAATATGAAATAATGTAATAATCTATGTTCCAACTGAAGCATAATGTCCCCGTCTTCGTTTTTATATATTTTTTATGTATAATTTATGTGTATTTGTCATTATTTTTCATCGTTTAGATTCAGTTTTGAACTTTTTTAAACGTGAATTAAATCATTATTCTCCTATTTACTCTGTAATCTTTGAAACTACGAACATTTTATAGATTTTTTTCTCTTAAATTGTCGTTTTATCGTTTTAATAAAGAATGTATAAATATGTTAAGAAAAATCACAGGCGTAGAAGTCACAATTTACGAATGGGGTGACTCCCACATTTACGGCGCTGACAATTGAAGAGTTACTAACATGGTTTTTTAAATAATAGTTGTAGGTATTATTCTACAAAATTTTGTGAAGTTATAATTAAATCTTTTCCAGAAAATTTGAAAGCGCTATTCGCTTATTTTTACCTGAGAAATTCATCCTTCAAGTTTATGCACTTCCCCATGAAATATTTAAAAACAGGCCCTAAAATGGAACCCTGCGGAACACCAGAAGAAATTTGCCTAGGTTTAGATAATTTGTCCCATACCTTGCAACCTATGTGCGATACAGTAAGTATAATTGAATGTTATCTATTCAAGAATAGATAACAGTACTTGATAGTTAATAGTATCAAAGGCTTTACTAAAATGTAATAATACCATCGCAGTGTTTTACCTTTCATCCACAGCTTGAATAATGTCGTCGGTGTTATGCATTAATGCTGTAGCACAGCTGTATCCTGGTCGAAATCCAGACTGAATCGATGGAAGAATATAATTAATTTCTAAGAAATTGCGAATATGATTCTCCATTACTTTAGATATGTATAGATTTATATGTTTCATTTCCAAGATGCAGTGTTTAAATTTTAATTTTTTATTTATTTTTATTAATTATTTCAGAGTTTTAAAGATATTGATTCGAAAATTGAAAAACGCTTTGGATAAATGGGGTAATCCGAATATTTGTACTTGCACCAGTGGCGTTTCTGCAAGAATGCCACAAACTTTTTTAATAGAGAAATTATACGCCACTGACTTTTTCCCGTTTTAATATTTTTTTATAAATCCGCCATTAAATTGGTCTCTTCAATTTTTTTCGTAGGATGCACCGTTTTTGAGAAAAAAATAAAACATTTTATTGTAGGTTTTGTTAATCTTTTATTTAAAGATGCAAGTAGAAATACATATTCGGATCATCCCAAAAAATGCACAGTTATCCGTCCAAAGTGTTTTTCAAATTTCGAGTCAATATATTTAAAGCTTTAAAATAGTTAATAAAAATTAATAAAAAATTTAAATTTAAACACTTTGTATCTCGGAAACAAAGCATATCTCGACCTACGTTTATACTTTTATTCACAAAATAACTTCGGCGACCACCCCCTAGAATATTTCGCACTTATTTACAAACACCTTGTATGACTTCATCAGATGAGCATGTTAGGAATATTTTTAAATTTGATTTAAATAAGCTTTAACCTTTTAAAATAAAATCAAAACATATTTATCCTTGTATGCATCCGGAATAAAACAGACTAATTTAGTTTCAAAGACTATGCGCAAACGAACTCTATACTAATGCACTAGTTTTCTAGGTTTCTGAACTGTGAATTCAACAGAATTTTAGTACCCAAATTTTAGCAATTTCCGTAATTTTTTAAAAATCAGAATCTTTCCCTCCATCGACTCGGTGAAAATAGCATTATAGAAAGAATATGCCTAGTCCGTTAGCATCGGGACTTCAATTGTTACAAGCACATTTAGCCAGCGCCGTGCACGCACTGATGTAACGAAAACCAGCTAATGAGCACGGTTCCCCTCAGACTTACGTAACAGAATTCCCTTAATTAGTCCATGCGCCCTGCTCGGCTGAGCGCCAAGGAACCGGCGCCCACCAGCAACCACCTGTGGCAGGCGCTCCCTGCGCCGTGCCTTACCCGCTACCAGGTGCACTTACCTAACGAAACGGGTATCCAAATGGGAATTTAAAGGCCAACAGAACCACTCACTGCACAGCACAACTCGCACAGGTAACCCAAGCACGCCAGCCTCACACTAGCATCTATTACTTTTATTTCTTGCGAGGACGCGAACGCCGCGGCCTACGTCACGGTGCCCAGGTGGGGTCAGTTCACTACCAGCAGAACCGCGGGCATTGGTGACCGCGCGTGGGCCACCGATTCGCCATCGACACCTTTGTCGGCGGTGACCTTTGCAGGAGACCTTTTTCGCGAAAAATTGGAAATTATTCTACCTGGGTGGCTTCAGATGAGTTTATGCGAGACTTTGTCAAATTTCGGGAACACCTTTCTCAAGGCCATGCTTCTCGAATTTCTCCAACGATGTTGCGTTGCTTGGTAAGCAATTTCTACATTCATTGCTGAGATCTGAGTTTATGTTATGTTCATATATAACCAAATATTATTTTTTACCTTGATGCAAATTTCACCTATGTTTCCAATCCACGCCAAGACAGAACAATACATCTCCAAGGACGCCAAACTTCTCACCCATGCCACCCAGTTAGCACCGGTGGAAGAACAAGATTTTTACCGATCTTCACTGGAACTGCACTGCTGAAGCTGTCCACGGAGCCAAAAACCGTTTCATACACACCAAGCCAGAGCAGACGACATCCTCAAAGACCGATGACCGCTGAAGGCCTCCACGGTGCACCAAGAAAATAATCAGTGTTTCGAATGTTTCGGGAAATTAGCCCGAAATTCACAAATCTCGCTCAACGAGCACCAAACACATCATCCAGTTGAAATTAAATACTTCCAAAGATGGGTCAAAGAAATCCCTTCGTTTGAAAATCTTTCGAAATTCGAAAATCCACAGTAGGAATCTGGGGAGTCATCAAAAGGTGCGATTGAATGTCGACCCTGGTAATTCGCGGGATCATTAATCAGAAGCAGGTACCTGGCCAGTATGCGTATCTTTCATTAACATTGCATTGTTCTCTGTGGCACGCACACAAGGCGGACGCAAAACAGTGTAAAGTACAAAACAAAACGTGCTAAAACACAAAATAGTGCAAAAGACTCAGTCGAAAGCCTCACTGAAAAGTGCTATCGAAGTGGTTCTTCATCAGCGGTTACTATTACTTTGAGGTATAGTCCTTTTACTCATTAGTACCTTTATTTAGCACTTTAATTAGGGTTTTTTTTATTGATATTTAGTGTTAATTGTGTTGAATTAATTATTACTTACAGAAGAAAAAAATATAGAATACATTTTTGTTTAAATCAACAACAACTACCTACCAATTGTTCAAATTGGATCCCCATCCATTTTTGGCCCCAACAAACCAATGTGTTTACCGCAACTGATAATTGAAATGGATTCGTCTTAATTTCGTTATAACCGTTACTCATTCGAGTAATTAGAACATCATATTCTGTAATCTGCCCCAAATAAGAAAACCAAAAGATTAAGATCTGGTGACTCTGACAGCTAATGCGCTGGACCTTCACTAGGATTCACCGGGACACATTTCTGGTTGAGGCTTCTATTGCATTGAATAATCTTCATTTAGCCTCATTTGGGTCTTTGATCATCATCTAGAATCCAGATTTCGAAAAGATTATTCACCAAAAAGTCTTGAGCATATCGAAGCGATTTTCCCAAATCTGCCTCAAAATCTTATTTTTTAATGTTTCTTTCTTTTTTAAAAAGCTACTTTGTGACTTTTATTTTTATTTTCTTACTACAATATTATAATTTGTACAAAACTGATATAATTTATTACACTTTTAAATTCGATGTCTAGGTACATTTTTGAACTTTTTTAGTTAATGTATATGTTATAATTCCCATATTTCAAAACTTCAGCTTGTATTTAAATAAAATCTTACTGCATAGTAAAAAAAAACGGAGAGACTAATCCTACCTAGTTTGTTTTCATGATGGGCTTTCGCTTAATCAGATTACTCGGCCTCTTCTTATTTGTTTATATTCTTTCCCCGCTCTGTGATAAATTTTACTCTCTGTTATAACGACTGCCGACGGCGGCGGTAACTTATATTTAAAATTCCAGTAGAATGCAGCAAATGACACGTGAACCGCATGCACCCGTATTTTAAATGCCCCCGAGTCTGTTCGGTTCAGCGCAACTACGCGAAATTATAGCTATGCGGACTTTTTTTCAGAGGAAAGTGTCGACTATATCGATGCATAAAATATAAAACACTCGACGAGAGATGGTTTCTATTTTTTACTCAAGGGACTTGTTATTAAAAAAACCGGAAAAATGGAAAAAGTTAAATCCCGAAGTACCTAAAAACAGACACTTATTAAAATATTTTCCAGCATATATTTTGTTGGAATAAAATTCAATGTTTATGAAAATAATATATTTTAACAAAATCATATGTTCATGGTCGACATGCTCACAAATCCCAAACAAATAGAGCTCAAGTACAAATTATCAACTGGTAAAATTAATGTTTTATTTAAAACAACAAAAAGAGATAAAATCTTAATATTTCATTAGCGATCTGAAAAATGTGTGGCAAATTTAAGGTCCATGTCAGACCATTTCGATATAATATAATGTGAAATGTATCTGAAACCACAAATGCCTTCTAAATATGTGTCTTGCTGTCAGGAATTTTAATGATGACTCAATTTTTTTCTTCTTGAATTTCCATTATCGAAAAAACCTGAAATAAACAACCTATAGAACAGTAATTACATTCATTAATAATAATTGTTCATCAGGAACTTCTTGAATAAATGTTTCAATTTCTACTTTCACCAAAATCTTAGAGTTCCTTAGACAATATCCAACTGACTTATTTTTCAAATGAGACATCAGTATTTATCTAATGATATTATGGGAGGCAACTACTCTGCGGCCAATGCTTTTGCTTAAAAAATTCATTTCGCCTACTGCGATTTTAGTTATGCTTTCATAGTACCTATAAATTAATAGGTCGCTCTGTGCCAGTAGTTATAAAGTAATGCTTTATACCAATAGATATTGAGTAGCAATGACATTTAAGATATCACATATTTCTTTCCCACATTTAGGCCAACAATTTTGAGAACCTTAGGTCCCTAGTTTCAAGGTCTATAGACATAATTTCTTTTTTGAACTATGATTATCGAGCAATCAAAAGAAATAGTTCCAGAAAAATTTTTTTTTAGACTGTCCATGGACTGGGTTGGTGAGGCATCGATGGTTGAATGAAAATATCACTTTTGTCTTTAATCATCGATAGGTATCTCTAAAAGAAATTAATACACAGTAAATACAAGGGCAGTTGTGACTGACTTTTTACAGTTTTTTAGAAAATCTGCCTCTAATTTACAAATATTTATGAAAAGACTAATGTTAAGAGAAAATTTTTAGACCCAGAATAACTATAAATTGACAAGTTGATGCATCAAACTGTTTTTCGGTTCCAAGTGATCAAAGTTTTGAAAAGAATTAAAGAAACACATTAAGTAACATATCAAACTGAAAAAAAATAATTTTTCTCAACTTCTCCCTCAATTTTATATTAGATTATTTTAAATTAAAAAAAAATCAGGTAATTCATTTGATTGCTCGATAGACTGAAGCTCAAAAAATTTTTTGTCTAAAGATCTTGAAACTAGATAGATACTTAAAGCTTGAAAATACAATTTTTTTATCTCGATACGACCATTTTTCACTGATACAGCATTACAAAAATCACTAAAAAGTCCAGGAAAATTTTTTGTTCCTTTAATTTTTTCCAGTAGTATAATAATATAACTTACTTACTTTGTAGCCTAGAATCAAATATAGTTGTTTATGATTATAAAACAAATACTTTAAAAAATAATCATTTTACTTATTGATAAACCACAAACAATTTGACAATACTATAAAAAAAAATAAGTTTAATTTTAATTTAATTTGCTATTAGTACTGAAAAATATATTGTATACGTTAATTACTTATATGAGCAATATCATGAAATGTAATAAAACTGAACAAGTTGCCAGGAAACTCGGCAATCTTTCATTAAATTGGAAGAAGTTGGAATGCCTAAGTTGTAATTATTTTGAGTGGTCCAAAAGCCACAAATAGAAGAGTTGAAAAGGAATCGCCTCATAATCAGAACATTTTCCATTTTGTGTATTAGTTTTACTTTCAGCGGTCAAAAGTGAGGTAGTATTTGAAAGTGCTAGGGAAAGAAGGCGGAACAGCGGACATAATTTCATTTGTGACAGTAAATTGTAGATCAATAACTTAAGAGAATATAACAGAAAAATTGTATATATGTATTATATTCTGAATATGAATAGGGTGCTCATGCTATACCGACCCTTTAGCAGCACCAATGTTGTTCTTATTATATGTGTAAAATGTCTCTCATAGTAAAATAAATTAACGCTCAAGAATTGGTCAATGTATAATTTTAATAGAATATTAAATAAAAATTATATCTAGGTTAAATGCATATTTTGTTTGATAAATATTTCCTCACGAACATTAACGGTTGTCGCATAAATAAGCGACTCGCCATGGTATTGCGTATACTGGAATTTTCGTTGATGTAACTCAGCCATTGTGCATGTCGCCACTAAAAAATCAAAACAGGTAAGCACTAATTCTTCTTGGGTCTCAATTCTGAGGTTTCGATAATGACTACTATTACCAAGAAATATCTATACTTTCATGAAGTCTTCAGTTTATTAATTTTCTGTTCACTTCGTTGTTTACAGTACATATATTTTACTTATCTTTACAAAATAAAGTTGTTGTACGCAAATCTTTGAGTAACCACATATTTGTTTTAAACGTTAACAAGAATTCCTTCCTTAAACAATGAAAGACAAAACATATTTAGGAACATGAAAACAAACAAATTTTGGCCTAACGCACTTGTCTATATCAAGAATTAAATTGTTTTCCCAAGAAGTGAAAACATTTTTATTATTCATGTTATAAATAAAAAGTAATTTTTGTTACAAAATTCTTCTTTTATTCGCAGGTATAAAATGTATTTTCTCTTTAAAACCCCGTTTCCAATATTTATGTATAGGATGTCCTCATATTGTTTTAATCGTAGA